CCAGAGTCTGGGGAGCTGGACCCCATCAGGATGTGACGGTCAGGTCAGGAAGAATCCCTGACAGTTGTCAAAGCTTCTGTTTCACACTCTGTTTCCTATTTTATGTGACTCCACACAGCTCCTGCTCAGGCAGAATCTTGGGGTTTCAAAAACTTGCTCTGCTCCCATTTACACAAAATCTCTCCCTGCCGTAGCTGCATTCCCTGCCTGCCTGGTGTGTGAATGGGCGCAGGTCTTTCCACACACATGATGCCTGCATAACCATTGACCCTTATTCATCAGAAAAGGCTGTGTCAGATCCAACTTTTAAATCCAGCCCTGCCTTTTCCTGCAGAACTCGGACAGCCCTTGCTGCCTTGCCTTGAAGGAACCCCAGCACATAGCCATGGGATCTTGTAGCTGTGGGATGTCGGTTCTCCTGGAAGAATCACAGCGAATCATGCTGCTGCTGGTGAATGTGCTCCCACCCCCCAAATCCAGCCATCCCGCAGAACAGGTTTCTCCTGCTACAGAGTCCCCTGAGCTGATTCCACAACCCATCGCACCCATGTGGGTAGAAATTTTCTTCTGTAAAGCAATAAAAACAATGGCAGGTTGGATCAGATATATCAGGCAGGACAACCTGAGAGAGCAGGAAGGAGGTACACTTGGGCCAAATGAAACACAAACACGCAGGTGGAACAGGAAATTCAACATTAAAAAAGCTCCAGCACCTGAAAGCAGACAGACGTCAAACACTGCTCCATCAGGGTAAGATATGCTACCAGGAGAGAGGCAGAGCTGCTTATTTTTAGGGCCCTGCTTCAGGCTTCAATATATCACATATCCACCGATATGTTTCCCAAACAAATGCGGTGTTACAGCCTTTCCCTGAATAAGATGAAAGGCTGGGTAGTTTATGGCTGTGGCGTGACTGTTAGACGCTGCTCCTGTGATAGCTGGCTTCATCGGCCACAGCAGAGTGGAATTTATAATAGGACAGAGCAATTGCTAGATGGATTCTAATCAGAGGCCTTGCAGCATCTATCGCATTTCCATTTAAGCCCCAGATGATTCCCTACATTTAAACTCGTTGTGCTGAGACCTTGTCAGTGGAGGGGCCGGGGGGGTAAGACTGGACATGAGTGACTGCCATTTCCTACCAACACAAGTTCTTGCTCTGTGGACCCAGGCACGTCGCAGAGCGAACAAACAAAACCACCACCCTGCTGAACAGCTTATTTTAGCTTCCCGCCTGCTGCCCTTCTCCCAGCCCTCGTGACAGCCGGCAAGCCGCCAGGCAGCCATCAGACTTCCTGGTTGCTTGCCCTCGGACGGGAAAAAACAGTCTGGAGGAAAGAAAAGTAACTTTGTGGGAAGCGCCTGGCCCCCTCCAAAGCAAACAAAGCATGTCCACAAGAGGCCCCATGAGCAGCAAGGTGGAAAACACAATGGCAACTCAGAGCTGGGAAGATCAAACATGATAGTCCTCCCTAAGGGAAAATCTGCTGCTTCTCTCTGACCACACTCCCCTTGCCATTTTTAGCCTCTTCCCAGAGGTTTCCTGGAGACAGATGCATTTCTGGGTTGACACTTCGGTACCCCACTGGAAGTGATTCCCTGCACCCCCTCAGCTTTGGGGCTGAAAGAAGGGGTTAACACCAATGGCACTTAATGACGGTGATGGGGAGCACCAGAACTTGGCATTTGGACTGTTGTTCGCACAGGTCCTGGTCTGGTTTTAACCAAGCCCCGACCAACCATTCCTAGGTATGGTCTGGTAACCTGCACTGGTCAGGGACCAACCCACTTCGGATGCGGCACTGTTTTGGCCTGCAGTGCAATATGTAGAGGTGGGCTGCGCCATGCCGGCTGGTCTGCATGCCAGGCAGCAGCATGCAGGCACTGAGCCCACAGACATGCGGCTGGTTCCCCACCAGACCTTGCTCTCCTCCAGGAGAACCCAGCAGCAGAGGCTCACAGCATCTGCATGAACACAGTCATCAGGAAACAACCTCATGGCTGCAGTCACCATGTGTCTGTCCTCTGCAGAGTCAGGATTCACATGTGAACACCTATGTGCTGCTGAAGCCAGCATGGGGCTTAATCTACTGCCACAGTCACACAGCATCACCCATAGATGGTCAGTGTCATGCAGGAAGGTGCCTTAGTCTGCACCACCAGCACCCTGTTCCCCCAGTGCCCTGCTGGGGTTTTGGTGTGGCTAGTGCAACCTCTCCTCCCAGGGGTGGCAACGCTGGTTGGTGGGACATGCTGGCCTGCCACCAGACTTCCAGGGGACATCAGACACCCTGTGCCCTCCCCAGAAAGGGGCAATGGTATGTTGGGTGCCACCACACCAGAGCCATGAGTGTCACTGCCAGTGCCTGCAGGCCAGCAATGAGAGATGGGTTGGGCCAGGTTTGAATGGCAGCTGGTGCTTCCCAGTACCTTGGAGGAAGAACTGAATAACTATGTTGTTTATATTAAAAAAAACAAAGATGGCTCTGTCAGTCAGAAGAGCCTGGGCTGGCCCCAAGATAAACTCTTCAAACAAAACCCCAAAAAGCCTTTTCCAAGAATTTTCAAAATCTCCCTAACCTCATTCACCCAGCCACGGTGGAGGATGGAAACTTTGGCCTGTCTCACCGCAGCCTCTTGCGGGCACTTTGGTATGGAAAGCATAGTGACTGCACTGGGCAGTTGTGTCCCAGCTCCCTGTTGCCGGAGCAGAAAGCTCCACATGGAGGAGCAAGAGTATTTCAGCTGAACCATCAGACAGTCAAGTCCAGGAATTGTTTCTGGTATCTCTGGATTGCTTTCCTGGTGGGACAGACCTGCCAGGCAGGGAAATTGGACAAGAGACATTAAGGTCAATTTGAATTCCCCCTATTATTCCTGGCTGTTCCAGCAAGCCCAGAGATGTGGGAGGAACCTAGAGAAAAACTCATTTTCCTGCAGATTTAGCTAGACTTTGCTGAGCAAAACAGCCTATGTGCTGATGCTACCAGAGCTGAACAGTGTCACATTCACTGCCTTGTTTCTGGAGCAGAAAGGGGAGGGGTGATGCACCAGTTCCTTCTCCCTGTATCCTCCCTGTATCCTATGCAGGTGTGAACCTGTTCAGTCAAACATGGCTAAGGCAAGCAGATATCTCAAAACAGGTAGGACAAGTCTGCGAAATTTGTGAAAAGAAATGGTTTAAAGAAAAGCAGGCTGTGAACAGCCCAGCCATAGCACAGAGGAGACCAGCCATAGCAGGTCATTAACAGAGGAAAGCCCAGTGAGGGTCTCCAGAGGCTGCTGTGATTTACCTGACAGCCTGGGTCTGACAAGGCTGAGAAACTCCATGGAGGAGTGGCAAGAATGGGCTGAGAAGCCAAGAAGTAGGACTAAGGTGCTGAAGGCACCCAGAGTCTGGCTCAGACAGGGAAGCTGATGGCAAGGGGAGCACAGGAAGGGCCATGTGGATGGGAAGGCTTGAGGACCAAGCATCTTCCACCCTGTCCCTTTGAAGTCAGCTCAGAGCTAAAGGAAATCACCCCTGGCACAGGGCACAGGGAGATGTCTGTGGCAGAGGGAGGTGTCCCCGGCATAGGGGGCTGTCCGTGGCACAGGGAGATGTCTGTGGCACAGGCAGCCTCACGCCCTGGGCACCCAGACAGTGGCTCATCACCCTTTCTGGCCATCACCCTTCTCCAGCGCGCTCGCTCCCTGACGCTTCTTCTCTCAGCATCATGAGCATCAAACCAGGATGGGGGCTCGGCTCTGGAGGTGCCAGTACATGGCTGCCCAGGGTCCCTCAAGTGAGTCGTGGTGCCTGTGACATGGGAATCATGACACCAGGGCTTTGCAGTCTGCTGTGTTGCAATGCACCATCTGACAAAGAGAGTTTGCAGAGGAGGGCAGTGCCTTTCACAAGGGCTAACATGCTGTTGGATCTAACAGACACAGCAAATTTCAGTAGAGAGAAACCCATTCTCCTAACAATGCCAGTTCATAATAAGTTTATAAGAGATATGATCCAAAACCTGTTTCTCTCACATTTGTCAGCACTGATATATTTTTTCCTCCTTTGTCTGTGCCCATGGTTCCTTTGGGCCCCTACCCCAGCTCCTGCTGGCTGCACTGGGATGCCCAGACTCAATTCCCACCATAAACACTCACTTCCCCCGTGGCACCAGGCAAGTCAAGCACACAGGACCTCTCCATGCTGACGCAAAAGAGCCATACATCCCTATCCTGGGGGAATGCTGCCTAGGTGAGAAGCTGGACTGACACTTCTTGGCTGCATTTGCAAAGCTGGCAGTGAGAGCGAACACCATGTTTGGGTTTGGGGTTTTTTTGTTGCTGTTCACTAATCACGTTTGCTCTGGAGTCTTTAGGGGTGTAAGGTCTTCAGGTATCTGCTTAAAAAGAGAGCTGCTTTCCTTTCTGCAAGTTTACAGTGTCTCTGAGGTGCAAAAATCCCACTGTCTGAAGCTATTTATTACCACCGGCAGCAGAAGCACCCATTGCATTTGGGCACAGGCAGTGGTGCCCTAAGTTCTACCGGTAAAATAAGATTTGCAGCTGCGGGAGCAGCGGGTACATGTCTGCGCTGCGGGAAAGGAGGATTTGTGCCTGGTGAATGGACACCAGCCAGCGCGGCTCTTCGCGGGCGGGGGTCACGGAGCCGTTACCGAGGCTGGAGGGTCTCGGATGGCGGTGGGATGGAGGAGACACCTGCCTGACCCTGCCTCGCACTCGGCCGGGGCGGTGGGGAGGAGGGGGGGAAGCGGCGGGTCCCGGTCCCTCCTCCTCCGGAGGGACCGGGATCCACCGCTCCCACCCCCCGCCCCGGCCGAAAGCGGGGCGGGCGCCGCGTGGAACTCAAACCGCCGTCCTCCCCCTCAGCCAGTAGCCAGAGCGACCGACCGCCACCAACCAATGAGAGCGCGGGGCTTCCCACCACCACCCAATAGGAGCGCGGGGGCCGGAGCAGCGAGTAACGCTCGGGAGCGGCGGCGGCGGTGGTGGTGATGGCCCCGGAGCGCGGCGACCGGTCGCTCCCCGCCGGTACCGAGGGTCTTCCCCGGGTTTTCCTGCAGAGCCTGCGGACTCTTTTCGATATCCTGGATGACCGGCGGCGGGGTTACGTGCACCTACGGGAGATCGAGTCCCGCTGGCGGGGAGCGGAAGCCCGGGAGCTGCCCGCCGGGGTGATGGAGGGGTTGAGGCGCGCGGCACCGGCCAGCGGGTACCTCACCTTCGAACGCTTCGTCCTGGGGCTGCGTGCTGCCCTGCCCGGTGCTGAGCCCGCGGTGGAGAGCGGCGGCGGCGGGCGGCGGAGCGTGGAGAAGCCGGCGAGCCCGCGCTGTGCCGAGGAGCGGCGCGGGAAGAGCAGCGGGCAGCGGGAACCGGGGCCCAGCCAGACCCGCGGCCGCGGTGAGCCAGCGGGGCCGGGCTGGGGGGGTCGGAACGTGCCCGGCTCGGTGCGGGTCAGAGACTCGAGCGAGGTAGGGCGGGCTGGGACCCTGCGGCTTGCTCCGGTGCTCGGGCAGTGCAGAGCCGTTTCCTCCGCCGGCCTTAAACAAGCAGCAAGCTCTTCCCGCAGGCCTGAGGTAAAACCCCGGAAAAGTGACTGCCGGTGGTAATTTTGGCTTGGGTGGGCCGTGATCCAAGCTGCGGGTAAAGCAGCTCCGTGTGCCGTCCCAGGTTTGTGCGTCCCTTCACACCTCTCCTGGCGTGGGTGCTTGGTTGTTTATAGCCGTGACAGGGAGAATTAAGGACTTTGCCATAATGTGGCCGTGGTTGTCCCCTGGTGCGAAGCTTGTCGGTGGCGTTCCTCCGGGGGTGGGTGATGCAGCTGGTCATCTTGGTGAGTCACTGGGCCCTGGGGTCTCCAAGAAACGAGCAGCTTCGCCGGAGCGAGAGCTGTGGCCACGGAGCCGCTGTGTGCTGGGGTGGGCTCCATGCTGTTGGTGTGCCCTCTCAGAAAGGCTTGGTTCATGATTTCATCCACATTCTGGACAAAAAAAATAGCAAAACCTAATCCAACTTTTTCATTTGGATAATTCGGCAGCATTATTTACAATAATAAATAATTAAGTGGGAAAGTGGGATCAGGGAGATGTGCTTTGCTGTCCCCAAGCGCTGCCTGGGTGGCCAGGCTCTGTCTGCAGAGCTCACCAGCAGGTCCCTGTGGACTCTGCCCCTTCCTTGGGAGCAGGGGTCCCCATGCTGGGTCTGCCAGGGTCCCCATACCTGGGTGGCACGCTGACCTCGGCAAGGGGGAGACTATTTCACTGGCATCTCATCTGTTGCTAGTCAGTAGATGTTATAAGGAAACCAGGCTTCTGGGCTTACCTGGTGTAGGTAATCTTTATCTAGATTTGTGAAGTGCTTTGAGATCTATGGACACAAAGGTCTGTGTGAGGAGCTGGTGTTTGTTATTGCAACACTTGAGCATGATGACTTCCTCTATCTTGGGAAAGTTGGGCTGGCTTGCCTTTCCCTTCCCACCCGTTCCTTCCCAGTCCCTTCTTCTGCTGGGTGGAGAAGAAACTTTAACCATGGCTGAGGTTCTCTGCTTTCCATTTTGCCTCCAGACTAATCACTGGAGCTTCATCTAGGGGAACATTATTAAGCAGGCTAGCTCTGCTATCGTCAAGGGTGTAAATCTGGAAAAACCTGAAAAAAAATCCTGCTTGGTAAATAAAGAGCAAATTGAAAGCTCTGCCCTGGAAAGGAGCGAGCAGATGGCTACAGCAACTTTCTGGTTGCTGAAGATCTTTCCATTATAGGCTGATGTTACACTGATGTCTGGAGCCTGCGGGCAGGGTTAGTGCTTCAGCCCTTGCTGCCAGCTTCCCACAGTGCAGGGCTGTGTTCTGGCAACAAGCCTGAATTTTGGGTTGATTCTGCAGCTTAGCAAATGTTGTAACTCAGAGTTATTCTATCTCTTTTAGCTCCAGATCCTGCACAGCTGCCCAGTGCTCCCTTCTACTGTGGAGGGTTTCCCAGGCTGTGGTTGAATGGGTAGATATTCTCATCAAGTGGCTGCTAGGGAGTTGGGCACTGCCGTGGCAGGACACTGCTGTTTCTCGCTGTGGAGAAATGTCCTAGGTGCTGAGAGCTGCCTGTGGGTCCAGGAAGCCCTGTCTCCATGAAGATTATGTCATTTGGGCTCAAGGCTGCTCTGAGCCTCCAGCTGCATGAGGTAGCTTCTGTAAGAACCCAACCAAGTGCAGCAAGATGGTGTACCAGTAAAGAGTCTGAGGAAACTGCCCCTGTCTGTGTTTTGGGGGAAGGAGGTGCTCACAGGATGCCACCCTAGCTCTACTTTCTGGTCCAGGGGGCATCCGCGTGTGTTAGAGGTGATTTTGATGCAAAACATGGCAAGATGGCAGAGGTTGTGGCCAGGTGATCCTCCTGGTGCATCCAGGAGTGCAGTGAGCCAGTGGGACAGTGCTTCTGTCCCCTCTTCCCTGCTAACCTCCATTAGCATATGGGCAGAAGTGCTTCTGAAGAAGTCCCTGCTCAAGAGTCACCTTCCAGCTTCTCAGAAGCTCTAAGCAGCCCAGCGGTGCTGGGGCAGCCCATGAGCCGCTGCTGGGTACCAGCTGCAGTCTCTGGGGAGCCAACAGCATCTGCTGGGCACAAGGATGGTGAGGCTGATATTGGAGAAGTCACTGGGCAGGGAAGTCACCGTGATGGCTTCCCTACCACTGGTGCCTAGGTGGCCTGTCACAGCAGCGTCTGACCATCTTGGTGTTGAGGGTTTTACCCTTGTGGTTTCCCTGAGAGCTGAGGTCTGGGGAAGTTAAGACACAGAGCAGAAAGTGCCTTGCCCAGGAGGTCTGTGGTGGCCCTGGTCACTGCCTCCTCCCCAGCACAGTGCTTGCCTTTGCTGCTCAGGTGGCCTGGCTCTAGCAGCTGCCTGGAGAGCTGGTGGCCCCAGCAGGAAGGAGGGGATGGTTCGTAGGTACCTGTTATTGTCTGGGCCATTGCTAAGGACAGGTATGTAAATGTGTAAAACAACCATGAGGTGTCTGCTCCATCCTGGGCACTTGCTCTGGCTGGAGGGGCTCTGGGAGGGAGGAGGCCATCCCATATCTATGGCAAGACCTCTTCCACCTCTGGTGAGCTGGGCCTGCTCTTTGCCTAAAAACTGCTCCCAGCTATTAGCAGGGGTCCTGTTTTAGCCACTACATTGCCAGCTCAGGTGCACAGAGCTCAGTTGTTTGACCAGGGAGCACCTTCTTACCACAGGTTCGGTTCAGCTCAGCTCAGCCTGGCACTTCCAAGTAACAGCAGTGAAAGCCTTTTTAACATCTTGTTTCTACCCTGCAGCTCTTCCCAGAGGTGCTTCTGGCTTTGCTTTGGGATTCTGCCTATTGAAGCTGCCCTTGGTTTTGGGGCTGTTCCTCAGCTTCCCAGGCAGGATGTGCTGCAGGTCTGCTAGGAGAACATATGCATGGTTGCACCAGTCTTGCTGGGTTCCTCCCAGGTAGATATGGGTGTATGAAACCAAAGACAGTTAGCAAAACAGATGAATGGGTGATATCAAAGACTTTGTGTTTATTGACATGCTGGAGACCTGTCTACACCAGAGCACTTCCTGGTAGGAGAAGCGGGATGCCATGATGGACCAGAAGGAGGATTTTTCCCATGCCATGGTGCCTTCTTTCCCCAGTGACACAAAGTGACAGGCTGAGCGAGGTGCTTGTGTAGCATTGCCTGCTGCCCCCTGAGCCTGAGTCCAGCTCCTGTTGCTGAACAGGTGGAAATGTGGCAGCGCAGGCAGCCCCGGTATGGTGCAGCTCTCCCAGACCTCATTGTCCTCAAGGTGAAGGGTGGCTCCTGCAGCCATGGCTGCCTTCTCTTGCCCCATATCCCTCTTCCATCATGTCCATGTGCTTAGCCGAGGAGACATGTGGAGCAGTGGGCAGCAATGTGCCAGCCCAGGCAATGCTATGGACCCTGTCCTGGCACTCACAGCCCTTCATGCCTACACAGCAGGGAACATGCTAGACCTGTGCCAGGCAGCTCTGGCGTCTGGGAGCTGGCATGTGCCCAGCCCGTGAGAGAAGGATGTGGCAGTGGGTGGGGGTGCCTGGCAGGTACGTGATGAGCGATCCCAAGGAGGAGATGTTTTCCCCCATTGCCTCACTGCCTGCCTTTGCTTGCTTACCTCCATGCTGCTCTTGTTTGAAAGCTGGGTTGGGAAAGAAACTCTCAAGGAAATCTGTGTGCAGGGAGCGGGGTGAGCTGCAAGAACACAGGGCAAGAAGGGAGGTACAGCAGGTTTGCTGCCCGGGCACGTCTGGGGAGGGTGCTGGCTGCACCCTTGGCTGTCCTGGCGCCGCGGTTTGGGGTGGCAGGGCGGTGCTCTGCCAGCTTGGCCAGAAGCAGAGACGTGAGCTGGCTTGGCCATGGCTGCAGGGCTGTGTTTCTGGTGAGTTTGCCAGGGCAGGCGGTGCGGGGCTTGTACTGACTTTACTGCAGGTGCCCAGCCAATACCTGCTTTGGCGTACAGGCAGGAGGTGTCTGATGCACCTAAAACCTGCCAGTATGAACTTAATCTGCAAAAATAGGTTATGCATGGATTTGCACCAGCATCATGTGTTTGTAGCAGATCAGTCTTTTGTAAGATAGGATGTTGGGATTTTAATAAAATTTTGGAAAACGTACAGCCTGATTTACTCTATGCTTAGACCACAGGCACGGGGTTTTGGGGAGCACATCTGCATGACCAAGCAGGAGCTGCCTTCAGGAGGGGTTGGGTTCCTGGCAGAGCTTGTGCCACCTGAGCGGAAGCCAGGGGTCCCATGAGGCGGGACAAGGGTAGGCAATATCACTAATGGTTTAATTGCCTGTGCCAGGACTGAAACAGCATTCCCTGGAAGCTGCCTGCTTTTTGCAGGTGACCATGAAGGACTGTTGCCAGCCTGGCACAGCCAGATAAATCATTGCTGAAGCCTGCCCTGCCCATACAAAGATGTGAGCAGGTGCTCAGGCTGGTGCTTTGCTCAGCTGCTCCCTGCAACATCTGTTTGCAAGACCACCTGGCAGATAGTCCCATAGAAGTAGCTATGGGGAGATTTTTGTTGCAAGTGGCTGGTGGCCTCATGCTTTCCTCTGTTGCAGGTGGTGAGGCTAAGGCTGCTGGGCAGTCCCAGGGAGATGGCAGCCATCCAGGGGCTGGGGACGCTCGGAGGCATCAGAGAGGACGTGCAGAACACCGGAGACACACCATCACCAACGGTGTGGACTTCAGCATGGTAAGGGAACAGCCCAGCCATGGGCTCCAGTGAATGGGCCTGCGGTCCCTAGGGAAAAGTGGATTGCAGGGGTCCCTTACCACTGACATCAGCTCTGTTTGGGCTGTGGCTTCCCCCTGCCCACCCTGCGTGTGGTGGGTCCCACCTGTAGGGTGTTGGGCAGATCCTGGTATTTTGGATATAAAGCTCTGTTGATGTACATGGAGGTCTTGCTGTTACTTACAAGGTGCTTTCTGTCCCAAATCGTGCTGGATAGGGAGGAGGTATGTGTTCCCCTGCCTTCCCCTGGGGTGGGGTCAGCCCACAGAGCCAGCATTTGACTGCATGGGTGCCTTCCCCGTGGGCAAAAACTTGGGCAGGGAAAGGCAAACATGTAGGTGTAGGAGCAGGTGGGTATCTGGGCCTTTCAAGCACTCCAGTGAAGGTCAGGTACCCTCTGCGCTGGTGCCAGGCTGTGTCTCTTGCCAGATGTTCTCTGTAGGTCAGGGCTCAACATGCTGATCTTCCTGGCTGCTGAGAGACTTTTTGCCAGTAATTCAGAGAAATCAGCACGGAATTTAGCTGGGTAGCCTGGGATGGAGGGATCTGCTCCCCTTGCTCTATCCCTGAGTGGAGAGGCTTGGAACAGATTGCCTGGATGAAGGGATCTGCGCTGCTCCCAAGTGGGATGGAGGAGCTGCCTGGGCATGTTGCCCACAAGCTCAAACTAAATTTTCCTGGGAAGAGAGCCAGGACCCAGCCTGTAGGATGCGTGATTGGCAGGACAAGCTCTGGCCAGTGTTGATGCTGCTGCTGAGGCTGTGACTGTCACCTCTGCACTTCCACTCCTCATACCCTGATGTCACCTGGCTCCCTGAGCCCAGCTGGGCTGACTGGTGGTGCGGGCAGCAGAGATTACAGCGTGATGCTGGCCTTGGGTGACATAACATTCTCCAGTGCCTGGCCTGGGGAGGGGGGAGTTGTGCACACATGGTTTGCTGGGCTTGCAGCCATGCAAGGGGTTGGGGTGCTCTTGGGCTGAGGGGGTCTCTGCTGAGAGGTGCTGGCAAGGAGTAATAAATGTAGATGTGTGCATCTGGGGATGGGGTCTCTGATTCTCAGAGTTTTGGTGGTTGAGAGTTGCTGTTTCAGAGAGGGGAAGGTCCCTCGTTCCCTGGCAAGGCTCTTCCCTGTGTGTGCAGCTCCAGGCTGGAGCCCATCACTCCATGGGCTCAAGGTCCTGCCTGGTACTGGTGAGGAGGGGCTGGTGGCCAACGTGTCTTGCTGAGAGCTGGGGTTTGTTTCCAGCTCTGCCATAAGTGCTCTGGCTCTGAGCTTGTGTTGCCCTTGCCTCTGTTTCCCCAAGTTGTTGTGGGGGTGGTGGGAAGGAGGTCTTCTGCCTTTTTTCCCCCCCCTCCCCATGTACCTGAGTGCTGCACTGCCTTTAGTGTGCTCCTCTCCCCGGAGAAGGGATGTCTGTCCCTGTCCTGCAGGTGAGAAGCCTTTCCTAGCACCCCAGCAGGAGCCTTTGGGTACTAATCCCACTTCTGAGCATACAGAGAGAGTTGGAGCAGGTTTGAATCCAGCAAGGACCGAATCCCTGTGCAGGGTGGTGCTGTCACCTCCTGGCTGATGCTGGGAGGATGGTAGCACCACACACACACACACCCCCGCTCCCCTGCACAGACAAGGCACTCAGCTGTGATTAGGCTAATTTGCCTAAAGCCCAGGGGGGGATGGGAGCACTGATATCCATCCTGCATCCCCGGGGTGCACCAGGACTGGTTATCCTGAGCAGCAGCAAAGCAGGAGTGTGGGGGTTGTGCTGCAGCCCCAGGACCCTTTGCAGCACTGCAGCTGGTGTCTGCTCAGCTGGTGTTTTTCAGCCAGTCCATCATCGATTGGCCTGATTTCCCCATGGCCACAGGGGTTAGCTGGGACGAGACCTTCTGTGAGAGGCTGAGTGCTTTCATTTGTGGGCAGACCAGGGTATGGCACTGTCCCCTCCCCTTCTACCCCAGGTAGCAGCAGTGCTCTGTCATCCTCCTGCCCCAGAAGCTGCCTCTGCCTCCAGAGCATCCCATCCTTAGTGAGATGCCATCTGTCCCTGCACCCAGCAGAGCTGGTGATGTCCCACCGCTCTGTGGGATGCTGCCTCTTCCTCCGGTCACTGTGCTGGCCAGCAAGCCTGTTGGGACCAGGGCAGGCCAGGCGGTCGCAGGCTGCAGCCCGAGCTGGGTGGGAGTCCTTGCCACATACAGCACCTTCTTCATGCCCCTCAGCAACAGCCTGTGTAGCACCAAGGCTCTGCGCTTCTTCTTGTGGGTATGTCCACTTTGGTCTGTCCATCCAAGCATGTGGGGGGGGGGGGGTTGTCGTGTTGCAAACAGTATTTCCAGGAGCAGCAGGAGCAAGAGAAGCCCTGGCGTAAAGGGTGGCTGGCGTGGGGCAGTTGGGAGGCTTTAGGCCTGGCAGTGGGGATGGGGAGGCACTGGCAGCCTGAAGAAGGTCTTTGTATGGTCTCACTTGTCCATGGGAGTGGGGATCTGTTCAGGGTCACAGCTGAATCATCCCCCTCCAGATGCTCTCCAAAGCAGCAGGAGAGGTTCCTGAGCATCCAGCAAGTTTCTGGGTGATCGAAGTCCCACTGGTGCTGGGAGGAGACTCTCCTGGAGCCTGGTCTGTGCCATGGGCAGTGGAGGCCAGGCTGTGTTGTGGCAGAGAAGGCAGAGGCAGCAAGGCAGGCAGCTCCCTGTGCTCTTGGCATGGGGACAGGGGGCAGGAGCTGGGGGACCAGACCGGCATGGCACGGGAGAAGGGGAGTGGGAGCCCTGGGCTCACTGGGTGAGGGCTGATGAAAGGATCGCTGCACCGGTCGCTCTGTTCCCCAGGCATGTCCCCTCTTCCCTTGCCACCTGATTGCTGGTGGTAGCAAAATGCTGAGGGGCAGCAGAAGAAGGTGGCAGCAGAGCAGGGGATCCCCTGTCCCCTGGGGCACAGACTGCTGCTCCAGCTGTGCTGTTGATGGAGGGGCTTAGCCACCTGCCCTGCAGGAGCCTTGGCTGTGCTGTGACTCGCAGGGTCCCCTCTGCTTTTGCCAGGGGGCTGGTCTGGGGGCAGGAGCCCCAGGCACCCTCCTAGCAGCTCTCCAGGCACATAAAGGTCCCCACATCCCTCTCCAGGTGATGCTGATGCTTGCACCTGAAAGACTGGCAGAGATGCTCAGCAGAAAAGTATGCTGTGCTCTGCTCAGCTCGGAGGTGCCTCAGGGTAAAGCAGAGCAGGGAGTGGAGCAGTGGGGAAACAGGGCTGCAGGTTTTCTCCTGGCTTCCAGTCTGCACATTTAGCTCCGCTGCTTGCTGCTAGCCGAAAGCTGTGTGTGTTTGTGCTGTTGGCTGATGCTTGCAGCCTTGGGGGAATTCGGGGAGTGGCTGCAGGCCCTGCTCTTGCTGTGTCCCTGGAGAAATATGAGGCAGAGAAACCTGCTTCTGCAGTGGGGAGCAGGAGGGTGGAGGTGGCCTGACTGTCCTTCACCTCCTTCAGTTGTTCTCCCAAATCGTAGAACTATTCCTCCAAAGCAGCATCAGGCAGCAGCCATCATCCTGTTCCTGAGGCTTTTCATGGGGAGAGGGGCTGAGACCCCTGCCTGTATCCATATGCCTCCACGCCTCGTGAAGAAACCAGCTCCTGGGGCTTGACAAGGCCTTGGTGGGGAGGGGGTGACATCTGCACGCTCTGTCCTGCAGCTGAAGCACATGAAGGAACTGGAACAGGAGAAGGATTTCCTGCTGCAGGGTTTAGAGCTGGTAGAGCGCACCCGGGAGTGGTACCACCAGCACATCCAGTTCATGCAGGAACGCCAGAGGCTCCTGGGGAAGAACAAAACCAGTGCTGTGAGTTTGGGGCTTGTTCTTGGGGTGCCCATCTGCTTGGGAGGGTCTGGGGTTGTTCTGTGGGTTTGGAGAACCAGCCTGGGACTTGGCTGGACCTGGTCAGCCAGGTGGTTATACAGAAATGACACAAAATGCACCATAACTGTTTTAATGGGGTTCTGGGAGTAGGATTAGACAGCCAGTCACACAAACAACATATTCAGTAGTTGGTAAGATTTGAAATGGTAGTGTGGGTGTTTGGGAGCGACTAATGTGTTTTGAATGCAATGGCTTGTTAGCCTACACCAGGATGGGCAGATGCTGCTCAAGTAGTATCAGCTGTGTAGAGTCTAGCAGGTGCCTCTGGGGTTCTGGTTTGCTACATACCTGCTGTAACTACTGACCAGCCCATGGTAACCCCCAGCCTCTTCTTCCTCCCTGTCCCCCAGGACTTCCTCCCTGAGGGCGGCCAGAGCCGCCTGGGACGCCTGGTCCCCAAGCTGCAGGAGGTGAACCGCTGCCTGGGTGACCTCCTTTCCACCGCTGGCAAGGTGAGAGCTGCAGATTAGCAGCTTGTGGTTGTCTGCATGAGCTTGGGACCCATCCTGTCCGCCCCCCCCCATGCTGGTGGCTGGGCTGAGATCGGAGCTGCCAGAGTTCCCCTGGGCTCTGTGGAGGTGACTTCGCTCTGTGGGCAAGATAGGGGGTGGGGGGCGGCCAAGAGGACAGCACAGCTGGTCCCAAGCTGGGCTGGAGAATGCTCAAGGCATCTGGGGGACTAAAGGAGATCCCCAGAAAGGTGTAGCCATTGTCAAGTGAATAAGGAAACCATCCTGCCGAGGTGCTGAGTCAGCCCTCTCAGAGCTGGCTGTCCTGCCGGGCTCCTGGCAGGAGCTGGGCACACTGGCAGGAATGCTCCCCACCTCTGCTTGCCTTGCTGGAGACACTGTAATGGCCTGTGCTGGGATCTTAATCCTGTGCTGGGCTTCTCTCAGTTTCCCATGTGCCACTGAAACAGCTTCTGGCCTTGGAGGAACGCTGGGGAGGGCCACCAGGAAGGAGGCTTAATGTCTCATCCCTTCCCTTCATCTTCTCTTCAGCCAGCAAACCCTTCCTCAGCTCTGAGCAGGCTGGGCCCTGTGGTGTCCCCAGCCTCAGCAGGTTCCCAGCAAGCCATCATCATGCTGAAGGAGCAAAACCGGCTTCTCACCAAGGTGAGTGAGGATACAGGGGAAGGAGATCCCCTTCTGGGGGGGCTGGGGGGGTTGGAGTTGGGGAACGAATACGGGACAGTGGAAAGCGTTCCTTCAGCTTGGCCAACCTTGGTCATCCCAGAAAAGGGCATGTGGGCTGCACCTGGAGACCCTCCGTCCCACAGCTGTGTCCAGCTGTTTGCTGGGTGAGGGTCTGTGGGCAGGGATGGGGCATCCCTGCCAGAGAGAAAAGACTGTGACAAATGCAGGTCCCAAGAGGGTGCAGACACTGCAGCTGGGGTCTGTGAGCAGGGCTGCTGGGGAAGGGGCACCGATGATGCCCCTGCCAGGGCCGGGCTCACTGCTGTGGTTTGCATCCCAGCACCCGCAGCGCAGCAAATGCCAGTGCTTTCCTCCTCTGAGCAGCATTTTCCTCCTCTGTCCTGTGCAGGAGGTGACAGACAAGAGTGAACGCATCACCCAGTTGGAGCAGGAGAAATCTGCCCTGATCAAGCAGCTCTTTGAGGCTCGCGCCCACAATAACCATGAAACGAGCCAGCTGGACTCCACCTTCATCTAGTGCCCATCTCCCCGCTCCCCATCCTTGAGCTTCCCCGGGGGTTTTGTGGGATTCTTGCCCAAAACCCATTGCACCTGTTGCTCCAGGTATCATATCTAGAGGTCTGGAGCTGCTGGTGGCATCTCTGCAGGAGGTAGCCAGGAAGGTATTTCCCCAACCCTGCTGGGGGAGCACTGCTCCTACTGCTGGGCTTTCCAGCCATGCTGCTCTCAAGCTGCTCCTTTTCTGTCTCTAAACGGACTGCAGGGACTGTACCGCAGCCCCGTGATCCCCAACGTACTGGGGGAAACAGCTGCTGCCCATGCTGCCAGCGCAGGGGGGAGCTGCTGTGCCCTTGGCCTGACTTGAGCTGAATTTTGGGTGCTCTCAGAAAAAGATGATCCATCTTCAACACTCCAGCTGGCATCTCCAGGCAAGCCTGGCTGTTGAAGAATGGCCTGTCCCCTGCTTGTCCCCCTGTCAGAGGACAAGATTGAAATTCCAATGGGACATGCCTGGCCCCTCTCTGCTGCCTGAGTTCTGCCTGACAGTGACATTGGGCCAGAGCAGTGCCTGAGCTGGTGGTCCTTCTGGGGTAATCCCTCTTTCCAGTTTGCGGTAGTGATGCCATAGTTGCTGTTTACATGTCTGCAGGCTCCTGTAGTTAATGAGCCACAGACCCAAACGAGGTAGCCTGTACCTTTGAGCTGCTTTTTCAGGCTGTTTGCAGATTGAGGCAGACACCTCTACATCCCTTTATTTGGCTTGACCTGGCAAATGTTTTTTTTATGACTGCCGGGCTTATATTTTTTTCATGATGACTTCAAAAGGAGATGTGATGTTTTATAGTATGAGGATGCTAACACAAGCCTGATTGCACAGAGGGGCTTTAGGACAAGGTTTTGTATTTAACTGAATGTGGATGATGGAGTGGAGGCTGATGGGCTCTTTTCTTTGCACATCTCCAAGGGGAGAAATGGCAGCTTTGCCTGTCCTGGTGGTGGAAGCTGGCTCACCGGGGTGACATCCTGAGTATGAACTGCACCCCTCTCCAGGTCTCTTGGGGTGGCGGTGGTGGTCTAAGCATGGGTCCTGTTAGACCCACGTGCATCTCGGAATACCTCTTCCTTCCCACCCAGCTCAGTGATGGTGCTTGAGCTGAATGATGTCTTCCACTGTGGTTTGGTACTTGGTATTTATGGTACTTTCATAGAAGATCATTGTGAACCCCCATGTAGCACAGGCCTGGCCCTCTGTAACTCCAAGACCAAGACCTTTCTCTCCAGCGTTGTTTCATGCTCTGAGTTTCCTGGCATGATGCCATGGCACAATGCACTGTGCTGGGCAGAAGGTGCTGGACCTGCCCTGCCGTGGGCTGGGCACCATACAGCCCAATTCCCTTCTTACTCCTGCTTTTATCTGTCCAGTGCTATCTGTCCCATCCAGCTCCTCTCTTTGAGGCTGATCTTCACCTGAAGCTCACTGCAAGGCATGAATCCCTGCTCTACCCTTGTGCCTGCTGCCCTGTGTGGGAGTGGGGATTGGCAGAGTCCCAGGGAGAGGGAGGAGGAGGAGCAAGGCTATGGCTAGTTGTGTCCCCTATCTGCAGGAGTAGGGTTTTAGTTGTTTCCTGGGCATCAGTGCCTGCCACCTCTTTCATGATGCCACCTCTGGTGTCCAGTGCCAGGTGTTTTGCCTGAGGTTTAATTAAAAGTGACCCTCTTTATGAGGAGGGTCACCTGTCTGTAGGGATAATAAAGTGGGGTGAACTATTTAATTTATCCTTCTGTCTTTCTGCCTAAATCAGCCCATCTACTGCTGCAAGGCTTGAAGTTCCTGACTGTCCTGTCCCACGGGATGTGGGGTGAGCTGAGTTTGCACAACCACAGCCTGAGCACAAGGAGCCTAGGGGGTCTCTGCTCCAGGCCATGTTCTCCTCCCCTCTGGGCTTCCCTGTGCTCTGGGGCTGGGGAGCCCCCAGTCTCTCCTCGCTGCTGTGGGATGGGGTCATGAAGCCACCTGCACCCCTTCCAGTGCTTGTAGCTTCATCTGGCTGCTTCTCCAGAAGCTGTGCTGGGGGCTCATACTCCTCAGGTGGTCCTGGCGTAGTTCACAACCTCTTATTTCTTTTTTAAGCCCTGCCCCTCGGAGCTGGCCCCTGTGACTGTGGGCAGCGGTGGCTGTGGTGGTCTGCAGTGACTCCTTCCTGCAGGGGCAGCTGGAGGGGACCTTGCTGGCATGGCACGCTGCAGCACACGTCCCTCTGCCCTGCACCAAGGGTGGCAGCACCCACTTGGGGCAAACCTGGGGCCCTACACTGGCCAGGGACACCTTCCTTTGCCCCTCCGCACAACTGTGCTGTGGGGTGAGCTGGTACCCCCCACACCCCACAGACCCCTCTGGGGGTGAGCTGTCCATGCCTCCCCTGCCGGGAGCGGAGCCAGGAGGGGAATGTGAGCCAAGTCCCCCACAGCTGGGAGAGGGATCTTTGATGCGGCTTCTTTCAAGTGGTGCTTAGCGCAGCGTGAATCTCGGAGAGGGCAAGGAGGGGGGCGATAATTGCCCTCAGTTCCCATTTCATGTCTTTGCTTGGATGCAGAGCCCGTGAGGGCTCTCAAAGGAAAGAGAGGATCATTGTTCCTGCTCAATGCTGCTCTGTGCAGAGCCAGGGGCAGCTCTCCCCCTGCCCCGTGGCTGCCGCTGCCTCGGCCCAGGGGAACATCCTGGCCGTGGCCCAGCAGCCCTGGCCCCGGGCCAGCTTCCTGCAGAACTGCTGCCGGGGTGGTGGGGGAGCTTCGGAAGTGCGATGGGCCTGCTGGGACCGGGGTCCCTCTGGGAGCTGCAGGGCTGACCTTGAGCTGCCGGCCCTGGCCTGGCCACGCTGTTTCTGGGTCCCTGATGGGTCTGGCCCGTGCCTCACCCTCACCTGTGTGTCTGGGCTGCGTCCACTTTGGCACCCTGAACCATGGGGGCTGGCACCACTGCAGTGGCAATCCAGGAGCCACGAGACCTGGGTTTGTGGCCAGATCTGTAAGCAATGCGCTGGGCGATGTGGGTGAACATCTTCCCTTCTCTTCAGGCTCTGTTCCTGGGTTTGCACAGACCTGTGAACATGCCTCCAAGGCTCTGATCACATATGGAAATGTGGCATGAACCTGCAGTCCATGCTGGGAACAGCTGGAGCCAGTCTCTGCTGTCTCCAGCCAGGGCAGCTCCTGCTGACCCACCTCACCTCAGTCCCTCCATGCTTGAGGTTGTCAAACCAAGGTGTGACACCACATAGTCAACACATCACTGGACATTTATCACAGGTGCCAGGGAGAGACCACACAGGAGATCCCCACTGCTGCAGCCTGGTGATGAGGGGGCTGTTACCGGGACTGGGGTGTGCTTGGCCCTTGCCTGTGCTCAACCCGGAGATGTGCCTGGCCCCCAAGCTGCCCCAGGGGATGCAAGATCTCATCCTCTGTGTCCTCAGCCATGCAGCTTGGGAAGGATCCAGTCACACAGGTCTATTTGTAGTTTCTGCCTTCTCCTGCCCAGCTCTGTTCCCTTCTCACACCCTTGGAGGCTGGGCTGCGTGCCCAGCTACCCCACTTAGAGAAGGGCTGCTCTCCCAGCAGAGCAATTATCCCAAATGCCAGCAGGAACAGCCACATCTTGGGCCCCCAGCCCATATGTTTTGTGCTTTTTGCTTTTCTTCCCTGCTGCATGGTCAGAAACTGCTCTGCCCATCGTGGGTCCTTGCTGTACTGGGCAGTTTGCAGCAGCCCCAGCACCCAGTGCACTGTCAGCCCGCACTTTCTGCACCCACTCTCCTGTTCTGGCCGGTGCAAACCCCTGGGAGATGAAACAAGGATGTGATGGCATGGAAAAGGCCTCAGGTCCTGGGGCTGGTCCTCACCGGGATGGGAAGCTGGGCCGTGCAGGGCTGTCTTGGCTGAAGGGGTGCCTGGTGAATCTCAGATCCATGAGCTGCCACCCGGTACCTCTTGCTCATCCCCTTGGTCCCTCGTTGTGGGTATTCTCCTGCCCTAGACCATCCCTGTGCCTTGTTGCCACAGCCCTGCCTATATCCCAGGCTCCAGCTTGCCAGTGCTTTCCTCCTCTTGGCAGAGATAAAACTGCCTCCTGCCTTAGCAGCTTTACCTGGCATGTGCTCAGTGCTCCCCATTCCTCCTCCCTGGCTGCAGCCATGGGAGAGTTTCATTTTCTGCTGACACTTGAGGCATGGTGGAGCAAAGATCCACACCCAGGTGGCAAGGGACCTGGTCTTCCCTACCCTCTGCAGTGTACGGCAGGGGCAGTGGTGGGTGAGCCTCCATCCCACCATCCCAGCTCATTCCTGGAGGGATGCTGGGGCCACAGCTGTGCCAGGTGCCCCCAACATCTCCATCACGGGGGAAACTGAACACAGCATCCTGACTCTGCTCCAGCATCCTGCCAGATCACTGCCAGGTCTGATGTCTCCCTGCAGCCGTGACCCCAGCCCAGTGTGGGTTCTCACCGCTGCCTGCGCAGCCAACCAAGCCTCTTCCAAGGTACAGCTGATTGAAGCCAGATGCTCCGTCCCAGGGAGACCCAGTGCGATGAGGAGGGGTGGGGCTCCCAAAATTCCTGGTTTGCTCTGCAGCTGCATGCCATGGGGACCATGACTTTACTCCTCCCATTACATAAAGAGGCAGCTGCCCATGGCGGATATCTGCCCTGTTTCCTCACTCTCGGAGAAGCAGCTGTTGGGGACCAGAGCAGAGGCTGGGGTCCTGGCCAGCACCGTGGGGGGGGCCACACTCGCTGGGTGGATGCCCTTAGACCCAAAGAATCCCCTTGTGGGACACCGATGTGGTGGGCGCAGACACGGTGGAGGTGACAGCGTCACAGACAGGCAACCCAAGCAGGTCTGCAATGGAGGGGAACAAGGGAAACAGAAGCCCAGCCACACCGTACTGAGAGTGTGCACCAGCCATGTGGGCTGACTTTCCCCCTCATGCTGTTGCACACACATGCATGGCAAAATATTT